AAAATATGAATGGGATAATCAATGTGTAAGGACTAATAAATACATAACATAACAATATTTTAAAACACTAACCAAATGTACAATGATAATATTGTATATAATTCAGGTGGGTAGCTGCGTCAGCATGCGTAGGCTGCAAAGGAACAAGTAATAGGTTTATTCCATGCTGAAAAAAAGAAGAAAGAGAACACAACGTATATATTTAATATATTTAATATTGGCTTTACACGCCACCCAAAATTCTTAACCTTCATATAAGTAACGAGTCAACTTTACTGACTCCTGTAAAGTTCTAAATACCAGACATATCATTATTGTTCTCTTGCACTTCATTTTGGTTCTGACATGTTAACCATCTTTATTAGGAATATGCAAAACACTTCTAGTCATTATAAATTTATGATTTTTTATTAATACTTTATCAAGTATCCCCTTTCCAATCCCCTTTCCAGGATATGTTCAGACATAAACTGGTCAGTTTTTTCCTGGTATGCGCATGCTTGTTATATGTTTTTTCTCCTTCATTACCATTGCCTTTCTCGTGTATTATTTTCATTATTTATAGACTTAATTATTAATAATTAAATAATATCTGAATAATGGTTATTGTTCACAGCTGTTTGAATTCATGAACTTCATCGGAGAGAACTTCATTTTCTGTTACATGGGATTGTCCCTGTTTACATTTCAAAACCACGGGTTCAATTCAATCTTCATCACAGGTGCCTTTGTATCCTTTCTGGGGCTTTTTGAGTTGTTGATCACATTCCCCAATGCTAGTGTTTATAAAGAGAATATAGGAAAATACAAACACTTACTGTATATAAATATATATTTGAAGCATGTAAAATTAAAATAGTGGACTTTGATATTTGGCTCTTAATATAAAGCTGTATTGATAATTTAGAGAGAGACTATTATTCCATTAAGCTGTGATATTGTACTATTAAGTATTTCATGTTGTTTGTATTTGTCTTATTGCACTTTAAAATCATAATTTGGAATCATGGTGCTTGAATCTGCAACATGCAAAACAACTTGAGTATTAAATGCTTTCAGTGTTATACATGGATACTTTCCATTTAATGACACCATTGATTTCAATGTATTACATAGGTTGCTCTATGTGAACACCCTTAAACCTACAGAAAACCGAAGGGCAATTTTCATAGGAACCAAGCTTAAGGTTTTTCTTTTGACTGAACAATGCTAATTAACACTGTTTTAAGTGGTTTCTAATTCAATCAATTAGATTTAACTAAATCTAATTAAAACAAGTAATTTTGACAGAGTTTCCTTTCCAAAACATCTCTACAGGCTGATCCTTTTTCCCTGCAGAAATCCTTTTTCTCTGCTGCGTTAATTTCCCTGTCTTCCCTGTCGAAAATAAAATATTGATTTGAGTCAATGCACTCCATTTCCATACAGTATGTGAGTTTTTTGAATGAGGGGCGTTTTTACAATTACACACAAAATCATTCATGCCCTTAGATTGAAACACTAATTAGTGGTATTCACTAATTTATTTAGATTAATAAATAGTGTTTATTTAGCATAACTTGTAAATCAATTATGTTTTTTTTTAATGAGCATTGCTGACCTACTCATCCTAGTAAAATGTAGTAACATTTCAAGGAGAATTAAGTAATTTTTGACAGATGTTGACAGTATTTGTGAGTTCCGGCTTCATCTGTGGATGTGCGGACATTCTCTAATGTGTATAATCTATTATGTATGATCAGGAGGAGACCCTGGTAAGGCTTACAGCCTACTGAAGCCTATGTTGCAAGACAGAGGCTGAGACAGAGGCTGACTGCTGTTCTACTGGGTGGGACACGAGCCCATTAAAAGCCTATGAGCATCATTTAGAAAACCAATTAATCGCGGTCAGAATGTCACTGGAAGGAAACCAAAGTGCCTAGAAAGAACCTACATTTACACAGAGAGGATAGAAAGATGTTATTTTTAGGAGTCCCAGACCACTAACACAGGACACACAGAGCTATAAGGTAGCAATGCCATTCCTCAGGCTATCAGGCTAACTTCATAAAGAAGTTTATAACAGTTAATAATTTTGTTAAATCAATTTCAGGTTGGTACTGTACATCAGTATTGACAAAATCTGTTAAAGTTAATTAGTGTTTTTTTCTCCTGTGACTGTGTCTATAGAGCAGTTCTCTTTTTTACACAAGACATTTCATTATTATTTGTCATTTTCAGATGAGGATATTGGCTTTTACATTAGTTTCAGATTGAACAACACTAAGATTATTACTCTGGTATTTTGACATCCCAATCTGGAAGGCCAAACTTAATTTGACTGAGGGAAAGAAAATGATTCTTGGTTCATGTGGCTTTTATTGCTGTTGTATTTGTACAGTATATTACTTTAGTTTCCTGACAGTCTGATATGGCAACCATCCAAAAAGGTTTTCTTTGCAAGACTAATACCCAGATGGTCAGTAATTATTATTCCAAATGCCTTTTGTAAAGCCAAAATAAAAATCATTTTTGACAGCCAGGCTGATCCTATCTATTTGTCTTTGGATTTAAGGTAAATATTTGATATAATTTAAAGATTTTCTTTTTGTGTAAGAGTAACCTTAAATTGTATTTAGAGATGTTTTTCTTGCTGGATTTAGAAAATACATATCCGATTATAGATATGCATACACTGTGGGCTATGTAGATCAGTAAAATCCTTTATCTTTTTGAGATGAAGAGCTTTTATCTAAAATAATGGCAGTCAAAATTATAGGTGAAATTAGTCAGAATGAGAGGAAATTAGTTTAAATTAAATTAAATATATTTTTGTGCCCCAAAAGATTATTTACTGTAAAGCTTAAACCATGAAGTGAAGATAGAATCAGTTTGATCTAAGTACAAAACTATAGATATTCCAGCCACTCCTGTTTCAACTATGAATAGATGTTCAAGCTATACAGTGTTTAGAATCTAAGGTACACTATGCAGCTAAGTTAGATGTAGACTGATTTATGAAAAGGACAGGAATGCTTTCGGGTTTGAGATTCACTGCAGATTCACTTCAGTATCCACTGTTTTAAATACAAAACATTACTTTTCCCTGTACATTTCTCACTACATATATTTATATATGTACTGTATCTTATTAAATACATTTCTTATGAATCCACAGTGTGTACTCCATAGTAACACCTGACAAATTTATAATCTGACTCACGTTTGATGAAGATAACTTCACTAGGCTTTAAAAGTGATATCAGAAGGCACCAGGACTCCAAGAACTGGATGAGCATGTCAGGAAGGGAAATAGTACTCAAAAGAAAAGTTTAAATCTAACTCATGTAGCCAGGATTCTCAACAGAAAGTACTTCCGAATCTAGGAATAAAACTACAGAATTTGTGTTCAGCTTTTTCCTTAGATATTTTAATAAAACAGGCTGTTACATATTAAAGCAGTAGGAGATAGTTACATGAAATATTTTAAGTTAAATATCCCCTCTACTTGTTCCACTAAGTGTTCCTTAAGGTTAAAAGTGTTATACAGCATCTTAACACATTTAAATCAATAGCCCATTTATGTGGAGAGAAAGCGTACTGTATTTAATACTTAAATTGTTCTATATTTCTAGAGCTTTATACAACATGTCTCTGGCTTTAAGCATGAGGGACCTGCAGTGGAATTATTAAACATTCCTTTTTTTCAAGCAAAGACATGTACATGCATGTATAATACACACAGCACTTTCGTTCTGTTCCACTGTATACTAAACATAGGCTAGAGGCTTCATAGCTAAAACATTGCTTGTTACATGAATTGTTTTTGTTATAATATGGCCAGCAAGAATGTTCCTTAAGTTTTCCTTAAGTTTTAAATCCTACAGCTGTCTATATTTGTTGCCAGAGCCTGCAATATATACCCACTTTCCTTCCTGCTCAATCTGGGAAGAGCAAACAAGATCACCCCGAAAGTCCAACACATGATGATGTTCTCAGGTACGCTGTGGAGTAATTTTCCGTTTCTGGGACTTCAAGCAATTTGATGGGAGGACATAAGTATGTGTCTGTGTCTGAAGAAGGCAATTTTGCTGATAGTGTTTTGATCATTTTAAGGCCTGAGATACACTGTTAAATGATGTACTGTAGGGCTCTTTTCAAGGGGCTTCTGTTGGAAGAGCTCTTCCACCTTTCTCATTCTGTGCTGAGTAATTGCAGGGGCTTCTGCTGGAGAGACAAGTCTTAGGGCAAAAGTGTTTTTTTTATTTGATTTAAACTAAGAAAGCAACACAGGAAGCCCATGTTTACATTTCCCAATCTTGTGACTTCCCAAAGGCCTCCGGGGAGCAGTGGCCTTTGCTCTGGCGATCCGGGACACCTCCACTGAAGCGAGACAGATCATGCTCACCACAACACTGCTCATTGTGTTCTTCACAGTCTGGATCTTAGGTGGCGGCACCTATCCGATGTTGACGGTGTTGAATATCAGGTTAGTTTGTTCTGGCTTTGTACAGGAGATACAAAAGGGTTTAAATAATGTCAGCTTGCCCGTTGATTTAACAGTTACATGGTTTATTTTCAGTCTTGGGGAAGATAAAATTTGCTTGAGATGCTCAACATCTAAAAGGTTATTACCGGGCAATTTTATGCATTTGCAGAAACACTAAAATGACGTATATGTACAGGACGAAGCCAGGCCTGTTGAAGGTTTTGTTATACATAATAATGTGAATTAACAATTAATTGAATCAGAAAATGTAGTCCTTTGGCATCTGTTCTGCACTGCATCCTCTATCTCGTGTATGTACACTTTGATATAGAAAACTTAAGTACAGTAAACTCTCTTGTATCTGATAATCATGCACCCAAAACCTCAAGCACCCAGAAAACAAAATGAAAGAAATTAATGATAAATAAGAACATCACAATAAAAGAATAAAAAAATCTTGGCTCAAGTTGGAATCCTGCAGGTATCACAGTGCTTTGCTTGGTAACAGTATTTGATCCTGCATCCAGTATTTGATCCCTCAACCTCCACTCAGCCTTCTCCTCCACCGACACCTGCTGAACGCTCTTCTCCTTTAGCCTTCAGGTTTTTCTTCTGTTGACAACTCTGACAAGGTCAAACCTGAGTCCTCTGAAATATATATGTGCAAAGACTTAGTGTTAAGGACTGTTATGTTAAGAAATTGGTTTTTCACTCTCATGTTAGGTATTACAATTAAAAGTGAATTTATACTTAAGTGCCCATGATTATTTATTACATTACTGAAGCTTCGTCAGGGGATGGTGATGGTGATTTTTGTTTTACCATATTTTCATTACATTATTATATTACAAGACTTAATTTCAGATTTTTTTATCATTGTGGTGTTGTCCTAATCATTATGATTTAGGTGGGCTGTCATTGCATATCAGTTTTCTTTAAACTCATCTACCCACAAAATCGTTGATGCTGGGACACCTTCAACCCCATTTCTTCCAGATACAAGGGAGTTTACTGTGTCACTACAAAAGGGACCTAAATAGGCAAGTCCGATGAAAAAAAAGGTTTTGTGGCTGTTTTAAAATTGATGCTTGACGATGTTTAATAGCATCTGATTTTGTTTCGTTTATGGATATGAGGGGACTCATTTCCATAAAAGAAATCTCATTTAATGTCTTGATAAAGGTTTATAATCTTGCAAATCACACCTCCCTTGCTAATTTGTGGATTTTATCGAATAGTTTACACACAGCTGTTGTCGGAGCCCTGTATCAAACCGTTAAAAGCTTTTTCCTCAGTCAGAAGTTTCTGTTCCTCCCACAGTCCTCCTCCAAATATATTGAAACATCTGAATGTTTCAGAAGCAATAATTAATAATGCAATTGCTTGATGGGAGTCTAATATTAGCATCATGTCCTGTGTGTCATTTAAGGTTGTGATCTTCATGCGGGGATGTACAATAAAATAAAATGTAACAGCTGCAGTTCCAGAAAGCTCAAGTGTGGAAAACTCCCACATAATACTTAAAAAACATTCATTTGAAACATCAGAGGTTCTGTATATCATCATCAGACCAGGTCAGATGTGCGCAACTGAATATACAGTACCTCTCATGAGACCAAACATTCATAACATCGAAACTATAAATAGCTAACAATAGACATCAGTGATATATGTAATGATTATTAGTTGACATTTGCAAACAAACAACAAAGTACAAACCCGGAGCACTAATGCTGCCTTTCTCTGTGAAATTTCCATTTTGTTTGGTCTTTGGTTTAAAGAGGAAGATGAACATAATTTTATTACCATTGGATCTTTAGACCTAACTGTAGTGTAAACATTTATCCAAACAATTCTTAATTGGTGTCAGTGTTCATCTAGTAAGTATAAGCTGGGGGAAAATGCTGCATTTAATTTAAAGTACATTGGACAGGCACTGACATGTGGTACTCACTACAGCCTGTCTGAATAACTATTTTGCTCATTAAGGAATAGGAATGAAAATGATTATCTGAGTTTATTCTGAGTGGAACTTTTAAGTAATGCTGACAAAAAGGAAGACTTGCTATCTACAGCAGAGTTGAAGATATTTCATCTTAGTCTGCCGTTTGAAAAAGGAAAAAAAGTATATGGAGCTTATTTCCTGAAGATGATTAAAATACAGTTTGAGTGGCACATCTTAGAATTGTGCTGTGGCAGTGTAATATTATGAGCATTAAATGATTCAATTGCAATGAAGCCAAGTGGTGTCAGTATTTCCTTTAGACGTCAAAGGAGAAGTCTTTTAAAATGAATTGTATGCACTGGTAATTTGTATAAAATCACAATTTTATATTTAATCTAGCCTTCACAATTTACTGTTAAGTAAAGCAATTTGGTTTGGTAATGCTTTCTGTAATGCATTTATGTTTCATTTACTGTATGGGAGACATGTTTATCCAACCAATTGCATATTTTCTCCTGGGAATACTGATAATACAATCTTTCTTTGAAATAAAAGGCTGCCAGATTACCCATTACTGGCTTGAAATATTTCAATAGCATCATCAATATCTGCCTGTGTTTCTCTCAGATTCTCCTGTGAATCACAAATAGCAGTATTGGAAATCTGCAGACGTAGAGTTTAGAGCTTTATGTGATTCGATTCTTAGGACACAGGTGGACGAGGATGGGAGCTGACTGCTCAAAATGACCATTGATGTTTTTTGAGATCTAAGATTGAGAGCTGATTTTGAAGTCTGTGCATTTTATCTTTGTTACTATCCATACTTTGTACGTAGTTGTCCACAACCCTTACAAGTAGCTACTACTAATAATCTAATGTCTACAAGAGAAATGGTATGTCTAGTTTATAGAAACCGCCGTGCATAGGTCTTATACATTTTGCATTGTTCTGATCTTATTCTTTCTTTATGGTGGAGTTCAGGTCTGTGATCTTCTACTGCAATTAAACCTTTTGTTTTAGGCTGAAAGATAATGAAGATAGATACGTACTTAATTGTAAAAAAGTAGCCTTTTATCGTTATGGCTGTCTGGAAGGAAACAGCTGATTATTTGACAATAAGTAGATTTAGTAAATATCGGAATCAAGGATGTTCAATAAAATGTGTTGCTACAGAAGGAATGTTGGTATTGTTCATGATGACTTATAATGAAATATAATAATAATAATAATAATTAATAATTGCTTACACTTATATAGCGCTTTTCTGGACACTCCACTCAAAGCGCTTTACAAGTAATGGGGACTCCTCTCCACCACCACCAATGTGCAGCATCCACCAGGATGATGCGACAGCAACCATAGTGCGCCAGAACGCTCACCACACATCAGCTATCAGTGGGGAGGAGAGCAGAGTAATGAAGCCAATTCATAGATGGGGATTATTAGGAGGCCATGATTGGTAAGGGCCAATGGGAAATTAGGCCAGGACACTGGGGTTACACCCCTACTCTTTTCGAGAAACACCCTGGGATTTTTAATGACCACAGAGAGTCAGGACCTCGGTTTTACGTCTTGTCCAAAGGACGGCGCCTGTTTACAGTATAGTGTCCCCGTCACTATACTGGGGCATTAGGACCCATATGAACCGGAGGGTGAGCGCCCCCTGCTGGCCTCACTAACACCTCTTCCAGCAGCACCTCAGTTTTTTCAGGAGGTCTCCCATCCAGGATCTCACCAGGCTCACACCTGCTTAACTTCACTGGGTTGCCAGTTGTGAGTTGCAGGGTGATATGGGTGAAATATAAGCTAAAAATCTAAAAAATGTATGTTTTAATATATAATATTATTATATTTTTTATACTTTGGTATTTTTATAAAAATCATGGTCAGAATAATTCCAGTACAAACCCTCAAGGCACCTGTTACAAATACTGTATGCATGAGAGTTAAACAAGTTTTATTTAGTGATCTGGGACAATGATCTAATGAAAACCTAGATACCTCCAGATATTAATGACCATGTAGTTTGCACATTGTGTCAAAAATGCAGGAAACTGTTCAGGTGCTTATTAAAAATAAAGAAAATCAAACCTTTTGGGAATGCTGTTGTCAAGGATGTGAGCTGTACACCATATGTAAGCAATGGATATTGCATTTTATGGAGAATGTACAGTATGTTGTTTATATAGTTTGAACAGGACAAACTAGTTTTCAACATACTTTTTGCATATGATTTCTAAGTATATACATACTTTTTAATTAATTGCAATTGAAATGTGTGGCTCGCAGCTAGTCAATATTACTCTAGGTTTCATGGCAACAGCTGTTGCCACAATGACATAATACTATATGTCATTGTTGTTGTGGGATTTGTATTCCATTTTTAAGTTCTCTTCATATTTAGATGCATCATTTTACAGCCTTTTACATATAGTTTTAATATTTTTTAACACATGACCCCAAAAGACTAATGTGCCACAGACACAAATTTTAAATCCACTTAGTAGGCTGTTGCCATTTAAAAAGAATGAGCTTGTGTGTTGTCTTGATCCACTTAGTCACAATATTACAGTAGGTGTGTGTTCTTTGCCATGGGGAACGGCAGAACACATAAAGTAATTTGTTTTTTGCTTTCATGTCATTTCTTTTTCTACTAGGCTTACAAGTGTAGTGCACAATAAGAAAACGGTAACATTGGAATACAAGGGAAAGCAGATGTGATTGATGTCTAAATAAGTCTGTTGATATATTGCTGTTTTGTTAGAAATGATCAGAGAAGCAAACTACACTCATTTTGTTTCTTCTTTCTTTAAACCTCTTACTTTTAAAGCACTACTATAGGGTTACTTCTTTCGACTAGAGGCCCTTTATTTTAGAAAATAACTTTATATTACATTATAGCACTTAATGTAAGTCTGAGATATTACTACATGTTTAGCTTTCACTCAGGAATTTTCTTTGCTACTTCTTCACCCCTTTTCCTTAGCATCTGTTCAGCTGTTTTCCCCTGTGGGTCCAGTAAACCACTAGCAATTGCAGACCTCATAGCAACCTC